CAAATTCGGCACTTTTGCGTGCAGCATTAGGTAACGTTCACTCTACTGCGTGTATTGCACCGTATACAAGAAAATAAAAGTATAATAAGTAAAACAGCCTGTCACCGTAGCGTAGGGGTAATTGCGACAGACATGAGCTGCGGGGTTCACATATTCGAGTTCCACCTTGGGTGTGCGTGTGTACCGAGGTATGGTTGCATCTACTAAGTAACAACATCTACTTACCATTCCTATCCGTCCGAAAAATATGTAATGTTTTCGAGATCTAGGCAAGGAGCTGGTAAAATGTAAAGGGAATTACGAATTGCGACTTGAGCGCCATCTGACCGCTACTAAACCCGCCAAAATATACCTAACCCTGAATTTCTCTAAAACCCCCCGGACTGCTGGCGGACACTGTTCCAGCCGCCTAAATACTGTTAGCCAGCAAGGACTACTGAGGGGAGATTAGAATGTAGGGTAGGTAAGATGACCTCGAGCGTATATCAGTATAGTTTTCATATACGAGGAAAGGGAATTTGGATTTATGCGCTAAGCGACCTACCAACGTTAAACGCAGCTTGATGATGATGACGGCGATGATGATAATATACAAAATAATGAGAAGAAAATAAGTCAAATAAAAAATAAATTGGATGTAGTGCTTTTGAGAAAGAGCTTCAAAATGATATTGTCCCTTGGAACAATGAACTCTACATCAGGTATATCGAACCCGAAGAATTCGGCCTGGAATTATAATTACTATTTTTCTTCATTTTACGTGCACAAAAAAGTAAGGTATTCTGTATATTAGGTAATGCATTAAATGCAATGAACTATACATTATTGTTATTTTGAAATAAATTTTCAAATATTAAACTCTATTTATAGATTATTTCCTTTCTAAATTCAACGTACATAACCAAACAACTATTCTAATTTAATGCACATTGTAATATGGCCGGGAGGGGTGGCTCATAGCATGACCCGATGTCTCTGCAGTGGCTCTGACCGGGAGTTTCTAGGTTCGAGCCCCAACAGTGTCAGAATTTTCGGCATCAACGATAGATAGGTTGAATTCCGTTGCTGTCTAGAGGCACGTTCTAGCGTCCAGCTGCTCTGATCGATAGTTTTCCGTGGTTTCTATGATAAATACCAGGCAAATGCTTACGCAGTGCCCTAACTGGGACACGAACCGCTATCTATCTTTCCTTTCTCTTCGTTGTCCTATTCTCCTCCTTACCAAAAGACACCGTTTCATGCACAAGACTACCAAACAGAGGGGAAGACCGGTCGGGAGCATAGCGTTTGGGGCGGTGTCCCGCTGGTGGAAGATACCTGGTTGGGGAAAACTACGCTAGCTCACTGTAGGTCGGCGACGGGTTTCAACATCCAATGGGGAAGATCACCGCCACCTCCCGAACAAAAAACAACAGGCATTACACTTACGGGAGTATTGATCTTAGCAGTTAACGCGCCCGGAATCACAAATCTGTTAATTACATTGCACTTTGTACATCTCATTTACGTTGGTAACATCAGAAAGGAACTCTGTAACATATAATATTTACGTAATGAAATGGATGTTATATCCTTGAAAAACCGTTGTTACATGTATTACCAGCAAATTTGAACCATATCCCGCTTTTTAAGCTAAATTTTATCAGCTCCGTTCGAGGTGTGTTCGATGTTGAATGGGTTCGGAGAGATCAGCAAGAAAATTTAAATAATTCTTCTATCCTAGCCCAACAACCCCTGCAGGGGAATTATTTCTTTCAGGGAAACAAAGAGGCGTCTTCATTTGAAGGAAAAGTTTTGTTAAACAATATACATAAGAGGTGACGCTTCTTAGCATCCTGGAATTCGATGAGAATGGTTGTGGTGTGAGAACGGTGCGTGGACAGCCGAATTTGCGGCGATTGGATTACAATAGGAAAAGGGTAAGAGATGGGGTTTCGGAGCGCTTAAACATAATATGACTCTCAACGAATAAATCTCCACAGCAAAGATTCAGGAATAAATTCTTCATGCAGAGAGAAGAGGGAAAGTTCAATATAACATGGGTCTGGAAATGCCGTTTTGCAGATATCCTTTCGAGAGTGTATCATTTTGGATTGCAAAAGGCTGAGTGATTTTGATTTTCAGATATTTTCCTTGTATTGTGGAACGTTTTAATTGTGAATAGTATAAATATGTCAATATTCCAATCACAGGCGACGAATTCACTACATAACAACATTATGTGTTTATCTCCGAAACTGATATTTTCAATGTTGGATATAAAAATCTGTTTTGCAAGTTCTAAATGTACTTTATTTTTTCAGCCAATTCAAATTTATCGTGCCTGTCGTTTGAGGGTGAGTACGAGTTGGACACTTAGAACAATGTCAAATGAGGCACAAACCCATTTAGTGGTGCCTGCCACTTGCACACTCATGCTCTTCTAGATACCACTTTAGCACGGACACGTCTAGTGCTTACTAGATTAGCACTGTAGAAACATATTGTCTGTAGAAACGAATTATCAACGTAGTGATTTATGGAAATAAACATGAACGAACTCAAAGATTCTGTTTTTAATTAAGAAGCAAACGAGAGTATTGAAGCAGCAGTTTCGAAGATGTTTATCTTGAGAGGTGATACTTGACTAGAGAAAAACCTGTTTCAGCGTTAATGTGTATAATATGTAACAATTTTTGAATGAAAGAAATATACATAGCACTGTTAAAATATTTATAATATAGCAATATGATTCATTTTTACCTTATGAAATGAGTACATAATATAATTATTCCAAATAATCCAGGTTGACTCGTCTTCAAATTACAATAAATTCACATTAAATGCAACTGGCGGTGCCACTGACTTTCTTGTGCTATTTTAAACGGTTACATCACATTGACTAAACTAAATTGCTAGTAACATTTCAGTAATTTTTGTAAAATTCTTATCAAATTGCTTGAGACACATCATAAATGCCAATTTACTAATTCATATCTTCTAAGACTCATTTCGGGTGGGAAATTGTTCCTTGTGCTACGTATGGCAAACAATGTGTTAGGGCTCGGAAAAGCAAAGAATAATTAATTGAAGTGTGATCTTGGTAAAAGTGTCAAATTTTACTTTTTCCAGAAACTTTTGAAAACATCATAGAGTGCAAATGATTTATTCAGTGCAAAAAATAATACAAATTTTCCAATAATATAATGTCCGGTAAATGTAATAAGGTACTGATAAAGGAGTTTCTACTTATTCACCGACATAAAAGCTAATCAGTTTTGCATTTAGTAAAATATACAAGTGTCATTGTGAGTTTCACAGAAGATGATACAAATGGCATGGGTAGACGTTTCAAATGTAATGTACACTTCCTCCACTTTCAGAATTTATAGTAGAACACATTAACGTGCACAATTTTTTTATTCGCTGACAAATACTTTTGTAAAAATACTCTTTCTTTTCTGCAGTGACGATACTAGAACGCTGCGTCTTTTGAAGTTCCTGTCAATACTGTGCAGATTTTTACCCTTCGTGAAATGAAAATACACATTAAAAATCTATTCAAATACTAATTAGAAATCTATTGAACTAACGTACACAAACGATGTTAAACAATCATTTTTAAATTGATGTAGCTTTTTACAATAAAGCGAATCTTTCCTGCGCCAGAATACCAGCCTAGCTCTCCAAACGGATCTTACATCAATTACTGTGGACAGGGAATTTCGAGTTACGTCACCCACGATCTGTTAGCGCCCCTAGAAACTACGAAAGAGTCGGCACACACTTCTACCATATGCAAGTCTATTGGCGATGATTCACTCAGTATATATTTTCCACAATAAAACTATTTTAATAACGTATAACTTAATAACTTTTGTGTCGTGGCACTTATGCAATTTACCATGATCTCTCCTCAGTTATTATTGTCATTTGAAACTACTAAATGCAACCTCGTATGAGAAAATAAAAAGTATTTAAGAATGTCCTAGTAGAAAATTAATTCGTAATGGAGGAAAGTCAGAATTCGCAGAGAAATTTAAATGACATGAAATCATTATTTTTGTTAAGAATTTATAACATATATAATCAAAGTGCAACTTTTGAGATTGAAATTACGACGTATAGCTCATTTACCTTCTTTGATTATTTCAGATGTTCCACAACTTAATGAAGCTACATTAACCTGATAAAATTACCATGACCGATCTTTATGTTACGATGTTGGAGGAGTGTTATTCACATATTAGACAAAAAGAAATTAACGTCTTAACGTTGCAGGTATGTGTCATTAAATCAGAGAACGCGTTCTAAAGGAAAATTTGGATTGGTTCTCTTTGTGAAATGTCCTGATTAATTCAGAAAACGTTATTTTCAATTTTCCCTACATTTTGGCACAAACACGACATACTTATTCTTCTATATTCGACATACGTATTCTTAAAGCAACACACGGTTGGAATTAGAATAGCTTGGCTTCTTGACCATAGACGATCGCGGCAAGAAATTAGTGGATCGTAGGAGTAGATTGTAGGGGCTGTGCGACAGCTCCAGCCTCGGCCTTCTGGCTGGATGTCTCCTGTACAGTATTCTAACCTCTGTGGGTTTGATTTTTATATACTTAAGTTGAGATTATCACCACAGGAAAGCAGCGCACGATCGCCAGAAGAACGCTCACACCTCATTCACATGAATATGATTTTCACTTGAAGACCACGGCAAGAAATTAGTGTATTTTAAAATGTGATATAACGTTGGGTTGTTTTTGTTTAAAGACTGTTCGTAAACACGTATAATGATTGTGTAAATTTCAAATATATATAGAAACGTCATCTATCCATTACTCCTTGTTGAGAAAGCCATTTGAAACGTTTTCCAGACATTGTAATTTTATTCTAGCCTCGGATTGTACTTGCTATTGAGACGTATCCTGACTTCTAAACAATATGATTTCATCAATTTTCAATAATTCCTATTCATGTCCGATTTCCTAAATGTCTACGCTCTTTAATAATACATACGTGAGTCGACGAACCATCTAGTACAGATCGGGTACAGTCTGAAAATATATTCTTTAAAAATGATTGGTTTGCGGGATCCAATTATCAAATAAATCAATATTTTTCAGTAGAATATTTATGATATTTTTATTAGAAAATAAAGTGTTATCCGGTTTTGACTTTGATATTACGTTTATATAACTCAAGTTCGTTAAATTTTTGGCATTCTTTTTTAATTAAGATAACTGTCTATTCAATTTTTTAAGGTCTTTGAAAAGTCTTATTTCTTTTCAAAAGGAAAGTTTTTTAACTTCACGGCGATGTTCGCGATGTTCGTGCAATACTACCAGTACACATCTCGTATGGAGGTAACATGAAAGGTCATTGGGTGATGGGAAGTTTTGAACGGGAGTACAACATTACTACGATTCATTGGTGCGTCCAATGCCAGACACTGTAAAAACTTATTTGAACAAAGCTATCCATGAAATTTAGAAATTTTCATCACTTGGAAAAACGTTTTTACAGCGTGAATAACCCCACATTAAGTAGTAACGTAATAATACGATACAATAATGCTGCACGTGAAGATGGCGGATCATAAATAATTGAAACGTTGTACAGTGAAAAGGAAATGAAATGTATTTAACTATAATGAAATGGGGTTGTCAATTATTTTTGCGTTTTAAATGTTTTAATAATTTTTAAATTCAAAGAAAATATAACTTAAAAATTGGGTTCTAAATGTATTATTACTAAAAATCTGTTTCATTATAATGGGAAGTTAAACAATTTTCTTCAGTTTTTCTTTTTATTTTGTTGAGTTTGGTAGACATTTTTAGACCAAGTTTTTATTCGGAAGGAATGTGTCCCTGAAAACTATGGTTTAAAAAAATTTGGAAGAAATTTTCTGATGTGAGTTTCAATAACACAGGTTTTGTAAATAAGCTTGTTAAAAGTATTACATTTTTTATTGCGAAACAGTAAAATTACCTATCTATTGATATATCTAGTATTTAAAGAGGCGATTTCCACTCCTGATATCCACAGCTGATTTACGTCAAGTGCACGACTAAACAAATACTAGTATAGAATGTTTTCGAGAGGGCGCTGCTTTGCTGCAAAAAACATGACACAAAAAACATTTGCTTCAAAGACGAAGGCGCTTCAGCCACTCTATGTAGTATTTTCTAGCTCGTTGGTCTACCCACTAAGATCGCAGCGCAAAAATACGCTAAAACATTTTTAGAAATTTCTTTCTTTCTTCTGGCTGGATCTGAAAACAACGGAGTTACAACTACCGTTAATGAAAAAGCATAAAACACGTGAGACAGTCTCCGTTGCCTTTTCTCCAGGAAAATGGGAGAGGTGCATCTCGAGATATACCCTAGCGAAATGTTTCGGAATGTAGAAATTTTTGCATTTTTGTTTCATTGATCGACAATGAATTCCCTATTCTGTGATGGCGATTCATTCTTATTATCTATCACTCTGAAGTGTGTCCCGGAGAAGATTAGTTAAGTAATGGTAACGATGATAAAGCACTGGTATGAGAGGTGAGGAAAAGGAAAATGCTGAAAAAAGCCGCAAACACATCTTAATTTCTACAAATTATACGGAGTCATTGTCGGAATGTCAAAATACCGGAATTCCGGTATTCACAGAAGAAAGAGCTCATGCGCTGGTCACTTCTGTAAAAGCTGCTTCCACCCTGAAGGCTGACGGCACATTTTCACTTCGACTGAAATTCTTTAATATCTAAAAAAATCGCTGCTATAGGTGCTGAAGAACTGAAAATCTGAAATATTGCAATAAGTCCCTAATATTATAATTTGTAGTTGAAGGATGTAGTTGTAATTGTAGTTGTCATAAAAGACATTTAAATCTGTCGTATTTGTAACAACGGTTACCAACGTGTGAACACCCTTAGAATTTAAAAGAGTGTATCATTTAATATGCATTCATTTTTACTGAGTATCACGTACTTCGTATGACGGAAACAATCATAACTTATCATGTAAATAATAAATCCTTAGTTTATTTCTAAAATATTTATTGTTCTTTATTTATCCATTTTGTTTATTATTGCGAGAAAATTTTTTAATCACAGTAAGTAGTTTGTATGAATAAAAACAATCAATTACAGCATTAGGTTTTTTTTGTCAATATGTCAATGAAAATAAATGAAACAAAATGCGCTATTCGTTATTAAATATATTATAAAATATATTATCGATACCAGGAATATCCTTTAAATAAAGATAGCATTTTAGAAACGCATACCAATTTCCATTCGTGTAACATTCGTATTTTATAATTGCTAGGAGTTCACTTGTTTTGGAATGTTGAGTTCCATCGACGTGCACTCTGCTCGTTATTTTTGAGCGAGGACGATTGAACAAATGTGTAGCAGCAGTTATTGTCTTTAACAATGCACTTAGGATAGTTTTGTCGTACTTGATACTATAGCGAATAAATTGATTTTTTCTTAATACTTGACAAAAAACGAAATATTCCTAAATCGTTAAAATGTAAACAAAATAGTAATACCAGTTGGAATACCAATTGCACATTACGAATTGCGAAGGCATTTAAAATCTTTTTTAAATAGAGATACGTAATATATCTTCAGTTTATTTAAAAAAATAGAACAATAGTTTGTAAAAAAAAAGTATTCGAACGTAATGGTCATTCTTAATGGTGTACACCTGCAACAAACTTCTGTAGAGTTTGGACGTGATTCAGTACATTGGGTATTTTGTTTTCGGTATTTTTAATGCATACAATTTTAATCACCTTTCATTTACTTGCTATGCCTTGCATATTACTTGATTATAATTGCATTCCCACTGAAAAAGTAGAACAATATAGAAAGCACTTTCTCTAGAATGTTAAACACTTACTAGTACGATCTTAATTCAAAATACATTCTTACTTCATGGTTTGACGGAGAATTTTAAATATAAAGTTAATTTCTGTAAATATGTGTATTTAATTTATCAAGTTTGTTTTAAAACTTTCTGTTAAAAAAGAGAGAGAACGAACTGTGCATGAATACTTAACGCAACATAAATGGTTTACATTGATATAACTCGCATGTACTCAATGTTTGTCTCCAGCGGCATATTGAGGCATAAAAAAAAGAAAGGCATACTCATGCTGAATACATTTTTAATGTAGGAAAATAAGAATAATTTCGCCTCCATTTCTCTAAATGGTAAATTTGGTTTCACGGTCATTTTCTCCATTTTCATTTGAAGGATCAGAGCATTAACTTACGCTAACACCTCCACCTACATCAACTGACCCGTTGTATGATAATCCACCTAGCTTTCCATCAAAAGAAACATTCTCTTCCGTCGACCAGCCTGATACGCCTCAATCTTCTCCATCATTTCCTTCTTCCCCGCCTTCACCAGCACCTTCCGTTGCGCTTTCTTCTTACCTGCTTTCACCACCACCTTCCGTTGTGCTTTCTTCCCCGCCTTCTCCACCACCTTCCGTTGCGCTTTCTTCTTCCCCACCTTCTCCACCACCTTCCGTTGCGCTTTCTTCTTCACCGCCACCATCAGACGAATCTGTGGTTTCATCTTCATCATCGTCTCCTCCTCTAAAGTGAATAATGTTTTTAATTGTATTCTCTAATGTTTTGAGAGTTTTCATTGGCAACTGCATTAAGTTTTTAAACAATTTCTCCGTTGAATCAACGGCAGCGCTCGCCGCGTGTTTAGACCAATCAATAGCCTCACTAAACAAATGCATCAAATCGTTAGCTACATTTTCTGATATATCAACCGCGTCTGATATTACGTCTTTCGTTTCACTTTCCGCTTTATTAAAAATATCCATCGAAAGGTTTAAGAAGAATTTGCCACCGTCTTCAATTTTCTCAAAGGAAGCAGATGCCAAATGCATAGATTCCTCTACTACGTTCCCTAGAATTTTTACTGAAAGTGCTGCAGCCTTTGCTGGAGCTGTGATCAATGCCTTAGTCACACTGGTGGTTGCCTAAAAAAGAAACAAAAAAACATCATTATCACAATAGTTAAGGAAATTCAACGAATTATTAATTTTAATATGTTTGTTGAGAGATGGCTTTGCAGTATCGAAGCGTTCCTCAGCAAATTTATGTTCGAGACACTTATTACCCTCTTTAATCACAACACGCTTAAATCTCAAAAGTCTCATTCTTTATATTAGATAATTTTGAAAGAACGGACCATTTGAAATCATCCAAAATTAATATCATATCACGAAACGGCGAAATATGTAGATACCGTACTTAGAGATCATTCCAAAACATTATAGTGCAAAAATGGATAAAAATCATAAATACTTTTTTTACGAGTATCTTGATTTCTAGTGAAAATAGATGATAATTTACTGTCTGTACGTCTGGTGTATGTGACTAATCCCTTGAAACCTTTCCAAATTTTTTCTTTAAATATCTTGTAAGAATAGAGTATAACACACTTATAAAGGGAGAATAGGTCCGATTTTCATAGTTAATTTTAAATTTTAGATAATTGCAAAAGCTTGAACTTTTTTACGGTGACTTCCTACAAGCACAAATTGAAGATAGCGATGATTCCTTCAAATTAAATTTGTTATCCATAATTTGTTCCTTAATTAAGGTCATGTACATTTTTTGGAAATTTTAGAATTTTTCGCGCAGTATTGTGTGCATTATGTGCAATTTAAAAAATAACAAGAACAAATTTTCTGAAAAATGTCTCAAATTGTTTTCTTTAAATGTTTGGTAAGGAAATTGCTACATGTATGTTTCTATGAGGTGATATAAACGCCAGATTGCTATATTCTTTTTTTTTTTCAAAAATTAGAATTTTTTTTACTTTTCCGCGTCAATAATAATTGCATTAGCAAAAATTTGTTCATTTCGTTGCAATAAGGAGTAAATGTGCTTTCAATGATGTCATTTACATAGTTTACAAGTTTTCTGAGGAAAAGAGATCAAAATTCCAGGTTTTTAGAAACGCTCAAATGCTATTTTCTCAAAAACGGCTTAAAATGTTTTCTTCAAACTTTTTGTATGAAAGTTCTAATTGCACTGTTTAAAATGACATAAAATCATATTGAGATATTCTTTTGTTGTTTTTTTTAAATACAAAAATATAATGTTTTTGAAATATTTCTCACGCCTTTTAATATGCGCATTTCCTGGGAATTGTATACATTATTGAATTTGTGGGTTGAAGAGTTTCAAATGCTTTTCTTGACTTTTTCGAAAACTCAAAAGATTTCTGTGAAATAGACTTCAAATTTTTCATTTACAGCAACTCTTAAAAAAATATTTTCTTAAAAATGTCTCCGTTGTTTTCAACAAAAAAATCCTTATGGAAAGAGGTTTTTATTTTCTTCCAAAAAATTGAGAAAGGTTTAAAAAAATGAACTTTAGGCGGTGATTGATGGCAGGTGGCAAGAGGATGGTTCATTATTGTCAAAGTGGCCCAGACCAAAGAAATTAGAAACTAAGTAGTACGAGAGAGTCTGTGTCATTGAATTGAATTGAATTTGCCTTATTTTACGTGGCGAGACTCGGGCCATCAGGCCCGCTCTTCCGTCTGACCACGCAAATTTCGCTACGCTCCTTTCACCAACTAGGAGAGAAAGGAGGTATTTCTTGGGCGAGAAACAGGCGATTTGAATTTAGCTCAGAGGCGTCATTTAGGCTTGAGGATCTTTTACATGCAAGTAAATCTACGAACATGGGACAGCCGGCTTTACTTCCCATCCGAAGGAAGGCGTACGAAGGATTTTTTCGCCCTTAAAAATCCACGGCTTCGATCGGGTTTGAACCCGCCAACTTGGGTACAAGAGTCCAGTACGCCATCATTCATTAGCACCACTAGTTAATTTTTTTGCCATTGCCTTTTACTTACTCACCTTTTCTCCAAATCTTTTTATTCGATCTCGTAATGTGTAAAAGAATGGCAAAAGCATAATTTTCGTTTAACTCCCTGATTTTTTGAAAATTGCAAAGTGCGACTTCGAACAACCCCAGTATCGAAGATAGAGATTTTTGGTTTTAATCAAATCTTTTCTATAATGACAGACCTTGAAACGAGGTCATGTTCAATTTATTGAAAATATGAGAAGCTTTCCCGTAGTATTTGCGTGAAATATAGGCACGTTTTAAACAATTATTTTCACAAACAGCGTTCATCAATTTTTTAAATTCATTTCTTCGTATGTAATAAAAAGGGGCATAAAAGAGAGCTAATATCCTATTCTGTGAACTATGTGTTTTGGAATATTGAAAATAGTTAACATTGCAAACGTACAATGTGGAAGATAGAGATTTTTGTTTTAAAGAAATCTGTTCAAAAAATAGGCTCTTTAAAATAAGTAATGTACTATTTTTTGAAACAAACGATCGTCATGTTACATTTTATGAGATTATTTTACGTGAGCAGTTTTTAAACAATTTTTATTACCTTATTTTCACAAAGACAGAGCGAATTTTTCCCTCGTATGTAGCAAGAAAGGCAAAAAAAACAGATGGTTCCATTTTTGACGAACATTCTGTACTTTCGAAACTTGCAATCAACAAAAAATGAACATTGTAAAAGTACAATATTGATAATACAGATATTTTTATTAAATGTAATTCATTTTACTGTCGTGGTGCTTTAACATCACATACGTTGTCGCATTATTATTAACTTTTGAAATTTTTGAAATTTCAGGGTTCAACAAAAATGAGACCTACGCCATTCATTGAAGCCTCCGTTTTACCAGTGGAAAAATTGTAAAAATATTTTAAATGTGCGAATTATTAACGTATAATAAAGAGAGTATTGAAGTTGAAATATTAGAAGTATATTATTTTGTTTAGTAATTTTAAATTTTACATTACCACTTCGATGAAAGTTTTGGGAAATTGTAGATCCAATTTTTTAAAATTTCTCTTTCTATCTTCACTTACATAATTATTAATTGTTCAACAATGTGAAAAATAAATGTCAAAATCATTCATCGTACTTACACTAATTAAGAAGCTAACTGTTGTCACAGGTAACTTGATTGTGAAACCAATAGCCTTTTTTGCTCCATTCACAACTATTGAAGTGATTTTGCCGGGTAAGTGTACAATTCCTTCAGCAACACCTGTTACAAAATTCATCTTTTAGAGTGCAAGTAATAATTGTCTTCGTCGTATAATACTATTTTGAATTATTCTTAGGACATGCTATCAATATAGTCTTAAAATGTATGTAGTCAAAACGGTTTTCATCTTTTTGTCTAATGTTTCATATACAAGGTATTGCAAAAATGAAACTTTTCCATTGATTTTTCTCACAATATTTTATAATAATAATAATAATAACAACAATAATAATAACAACAACAATAATAACAATAACAATAACAACAATAATAATAATAATAATAATAATAATAATAAGAAGAAGAAGAAGAAGAAGAAGAAGAAGAAGAATTGTATTTCTTGGAAGTGGACTCTTGAGCGGTGGCAAATTACAATGCAATAATCTTGAAAGATTCTAAATATAATATAATAGTAATACATGATGTTAATAGCATCAATAATACACTAATTAATAATACAATAGTACTCTAAGTTTTGATACAATCAAAATTTTGAAACTATATAGTATTTTACAAAGAATACAAAATAATATACTATATATACTAATACTTTTCTTCTGCCAATACTCGTGATAGTGAAAGGCTTCACCAAGGTGAAGGATAGCTGATTAATTTGAAGGCCACAATTGAGCTACATGATTGTGGAATGTAATATAAATATTGAATCATAGTATATACTGTTGTTTGTGAAAATTTGCAACACCCAGAAGGAATGGTCAGCTTAAAAAACAGTGGAAGTGTAGAATAGTGTATCCACAAGAAGTGAATAAATTTGCGTACATAAGGCGTATACGTTGGGCTAGCAGCACCCTCTGTTGTATGATAGGTCAGTTCAGTGTTACACCTACTCGGTGTAGAGACATCAAACAACGTGGAAACGTGCAAGTAGGTGCCAGTACACTTCGTCGACGCCAAAAGACGCAATATCAGCATCTGGGTTCGAAAGGGGCAAAATAATCAGTTTCCAAAACGCGGGTTTGTCATACTGTGACAATGAGGCTCGAACAGAGCATGCTGCTAAGATAGTGATGCGTGTGTGGAACCAGTTGATAGAGGAGGGTCATACACAGCGTCGAGCAGGTATAGGACCTGCAGGTATGTGAACACAACGCGAGATGACCGCCATCTTGTCCACATGACTGTAACCGAACTCGTCGTCTGCACGATTGTTGGCTCGATTTTGGGACACTATTACGGGTGTGGTCACTGCGTCGCCGGTTCGATGCCGTCTTCTGCGGGCTGGACTGGTGGCACGCATACCACTGCGTCGGATTCCTTTGTTTAGAAATCACCAACGCCTCTGGCAGTAATAAGCACGAGAACGTGTTAACTGGTGTGCCAAATATCAAAATGTGGTGTTTTTGCTTAAATTTGTGGTACAGCGGTTACCGGGTAGGTGTTCGAAGCTACCGTGGTGATCGCAACCTGGCAGCCTGGATTGTTGTTGGTCAAAACGGACAAACGTCAAGTGATGTTTGAATA